GTGAGCCAAAATTGGCAATTTTGAAAAATTTGTGGTACTAGATGTGGATCAAGTGGTGGGCTAATGTGGTATGTTTCGGAAAGTCGCTTGGCTATTGGCGTTACAGTCTTGTTACCGTAAGCATAGCGTTGTTCAAGTAATTTATTACTTGCAAAAACGGTCTCGTTCCAACGTGGACAGGCGTAATACATAGATAATATATCATCTTGTTCCTATACAAGAATTATGCTATGTGTAGTAATTATTAATGGATTTGAATAAAAAAATCTTTATAAATGACGCATTATAATATACCCGTGGTAAATTCCAATAATATATGGGTTGACTTTTGCAAGTGTCTAAAGAACCCTTGCCATTAAATAATCCTTGAGAAAAAGACATCATCGACGCACCGGTTCTTGAATAAAAAGAATATTACATATAAATCATCATTGTGATTTAATCTTGATCTTATCATTTATAAATTGTACCTTGAAGTTTGAGTGCTTTGGAATTTTATAACTTCGGGATCATATTCAACTCCATCCCAAAATTTTGCGTATCGCTTACGAGATTGTAAACCATCAAAATAAGGTTCGAGTTCCCCTCGTGTGATCAATTGATAATTTTTCCTCATGGGGAAAGGATTTTTATACTAAAAAGATACTTGTTTATCATGACAACATTTTATTGAATTTCACATAAATAAATTAATTTCTTTACCCATTCTTTTGCAACAGAAACATTAGCAAATATTTTTTCCAATTCGTCAAAAGCTATGATATTGTTTGGAGCTGGATATCTTGATCCTAGTAATATTTTTTTTAAAAAAAAAAGAAATTATTTATCCATTAAGTTTACACACTTAACAGTATACGAAGTAGTAATTACCATGTCTAGAAACCGAATGTAATTGTTTTAATTCGCATTTGTCAGGATAACTAATGGGTTGAATGTCAAGAGAAAAGACAGTTTGTGGTGGTTCAAGGCTAAAAAGCTTACTGTTGAGAAGATATTCTCTAGTATATTTGTATGTTTCGCATAATGTTGGGTTATAGGAAACAAATAAATTGTTGATAAAAATTGAATATAGAATACGATATAGAAACAACATTTTTAAAATTACAACTAATTTCTTTTAAAAAAGAAAGTTGAACGTGAAATTAAACCTTTTATATTAATACATAATGTCAATTGTCAATATTATAAATTAACCGAATAAAGAAAATTTTTGACAAATGTGGATAACGAACAATTATTATTGTTTGAAAACACATTAAAAAAGAAATGTGATAATATGATAGTGGTTAAATTTTTGGGTATTAGCTTTGGCGTCTCAAAACCGGTTAACAATGTCAGATATATTTTATTGGACATTAGACCAGATAAAGTTATATGGGAGCTATTAAAATCAGGTTACTGGGACTAAAAATGAGATATTCAATTCATATTATCATATGATATATGAACTTTATTTGGAGAAAATATTATTGACAACGCAAATTAGTCCGTCAAAATTTCTCGTTTCTCTGTGTAACATTAGTCAACAAAATCTAAAATTAGATTTTAGAATGATCAACGCAAAATTAGTAAATGATTGACATTATTAAATATTTAATATAAAACCATTATTAATAGTTTGAATGGATATTTTATTAGAGGCCTAAAGGTATTATACCTTTCAGTAAAATGTTTATATTGGAAAATACAGTTTTTTTTTTAAAAAAAAAATAAACATAAAAAAAATTAATTAATATAATGTTTTAAAAATTAATTTTATTTTTAAAGTTACTAAATTAAGATTTTTTATTAAAAAATATTTTTAATGATTTTTATAATAAAAACATTATATTTAAATTTTAAAATTATTTTTCTAATAAATTAGTATAACAATATTCTATAAGGTGATTTTAATAGCAAATTTAAAGTATTATGAAATTGATTTCAAGTATTACAAAAATTTTTATAATAATATTTTATAATTATTTTATATAACAATAAATTTTTAATATAATAATATTTAAAGTAAATTTCTATACTAATAAATAATTTATATTTATTTAATATAAATTTTTTTAAAATTAAAACTATTCAATTTCTCTTAATTAAATAAGCTAAAGTTTTTTGATTATAATTAATAAATAATAAAATATTATAAATGTAATTTAAAATTGATTTTTAAACTAAAAGATAGATATAAGTTAATTTATTCTAACTTAATTAAGTTAAATTAAGATTTTTGTAATTTATATAATTTAAATATATAAAATAACTTTTAAGTTAAAATTCAAATTATATATTTATATATATTTAATGTTTAAATATTAATGATTTTGATTATTATATTTATAAATAAAACTTAATTTTTATAATTTTTTAATAAAAAATTTAATTTAAACTTAAAATATTTATTAATATTATAAATACTTATTAAACTTTCTTCAAATTATTTTTATTACTATATTTATAATATAATTTTATTGTATAGTATCACCTATAATATTCTCTAAAATCAATACTTCTATATTATAAGATTCGGGTATTTAAAAATTATCCTATATTAAGATTACTTAAAATTCTTGATGGGTTCTAATCATTACAACCATTTAAGTCTAGACTTTGATTGTAAAAATATTTATTGTAAATAAAGCGAAATTTATTAATACTTGCTTTGTGAGTTTGTTTATGAAACTATGTATTTTAAATGTTCTTATTAAGAAACTTTTTGGATGGTTGAAATTGAATTATTTGTTTTATCATATTTTGCTAAAATATATCTGTCTGCTCAAATATTTAATTTAAATACAAATAAAAAAAATAAATTTTAATATGAATCCAAAATTTTTCACAAAATATTCACTATAATTTCATTGTTATAATTAATTAATTATTTTTTTTTATTTTTTTTTTTGAGGCAAAACTGTAATTCCTATATTCTACTTATGAATTTTTGAAGCGAACTTATTTAACTGCATGTTTTATAAAGTTGGTTTTTTATTAGATAAATATTAGTTATTTAGATATTATAATATTATCTTAAACCGAAGTCAAAATTTGTCTGCTAAATTTCAAATGATTATTTCATTTCCAGAATGTCAATTACTCATAAATAATTACATTAATATATAATAGTATATCTGTTGAAAAGAATTTAATTATCTGATTCAAAATGAATTTTATTGATTTTTTAAATAAATATTAACTATAATTTATCAATAAAAATTGATTATAAGACATTTTGCTTAATTTAAACTTGTAAAAAATTCTTTGAAGCTGATGAAAAAAAAATAATCTTACCTAAATTAAAGTAGACTGATAATTAGTATTCTAAAAGAATCAGGTCAAACCTGGGTTATTTGACCTGACTCGTATTTAAAATCTGAATTGAATTTATCATTATTTGACATGAGTCCTATATTCAACCTATCCTATCAGTTAGGATCATACCTTTGCTTGATCTGGGTTGACCCCAGATTGACCCAGGTTTAATCAAATATTTTGATGATTTTGAATATAAAATGTTTATGTTACGTGATTTTTAAATTTTAACTTTATTTGTGATTTGTATATAAAAATGAGCAAGGCTGAGAAAATAACTCTTGAAAAGTGTCTTTCTCTAAAAAGTGAACTTTTACTAGAAAACTTTTGAAGAAAAAGAGCTTTCACAAGAATACAAAAATGCAAAAATTCATCAAGTGGTTAAGTGCTTAAACTGCCCGTAAGTATTTTAGAAAAAAATAAAAATTTGCTTAAATATTCATAAGTATTTTTATAAAAAAATTAATTATAAATCTAATTTCTTAAAATTTTAGAGATAAAACATGGTTTTGCATGATTTGTAATACTAATACAACAAATCTTTAGCATCATTTAGAATATAATCATTCAAAGAAAAACCCAAAAAAAGTAAAGAATTTAATGGTTAAAACCTAAAGTACATTAGATGAATTTGCAAACTATACAACAATTCTATCTAAGGTATATTAATAAATAATACATAAAATAGAAAGATATGAATATTAAAAATAATTTTTTTTTTAAGTTTATACAAAAAGGTTTTCACAAGTTTATTATTAAATGGGTAATCAACCATTTATAATATTAAAAAATAAATATTTTTGAAAGATAAATAAAAATATTAAATTCAAATGCACTAGTCCTATTAGCAGATACAATAAAAATGATATATTAAAAAGTTTTAAAGTGAAACAAAAAAAGTGAGTAAATTGATTCAGGTAATTTAAATATATGTATAAATTTTTTTTTATTTTATTAAACAATTTATCTATTTAATAGAGTGCATCTGAGAGAATTTTTTTTGCAATTGATACATAAACATCAATGAATGGTTATTCCTTTTTAGCTATAATAATACACTGAATTACTAAAGATTAGAGGCTTCAGGATAAATTGCTAGATTTTATAGATCTTTCTGATTCTCATTCAGGTGAAAATCTCTGTAATGCTTTTGTAAAAAGTTGTTATGAGTTTAAAATTTTAGAAAAGATAAATAAATATTTTTTTATTTTTTTATTTTATTTTTATTTTAATTTTTAATTTTTGTTTATTTTTTATTTTGTTTTTTAACTTCATTTTTTTTTATTTTATTTTTATTTTTATTTTTCTTTAATTTTTTTTAATTATTTTATTTTTTTTTTAATTGTTTTATTTTTATATTTATACAAACTTAAAATATAACTAATAAAATTATTGTAACTTTAACAGATTTTTGCAGTTACTAGTGATAATGCTTCAAATAATATTACCTTTATAAAATGTTTAGAAAATACTTATCAAATGAAAAATATTTCCTTTGATGCTATTAATTTCTATTGTCAATGTCTTGCTTATATAATAAATTTAGTTGTACAAAAATCTTAGAACAAATTAAAGCTGATGAAGCATAAATTGAAGATGATATCATGAATAATATAAATTTAACTATAAATGCTGGAGAAATAATTCCTAAAATAGGTTAAATTTTATATTTCTTTAAATTTTAAATTATTATAATACTAATTTTATATTATAATTAGCTTCATAAACTTATTGTAAAAATAAAATTATCATTACAATGCAAAGAAAAGTTTGCATGTCATGCTGAAGCTACCAATCTTAAAGAACTTAACCTTATCTTAAATGTTAGAATGTGATGAAACTCTATATTTAATATACTTAATCGTGCATTTGTGATGCAAGATATTAGAGTATTTATAATATTATTTACATTTGCTTTTTTTATTATATTAATATAATATTATTTTTTTATATTATAGGCAATAAATGCAATGGCAAATTCAGATAAAGATCTCAGAAATTTTGAAATTACTGATGA